ACCTAGCGTAGCCGTCCCAAAAATTGTAAAAATGGCCGGTGGGAGCTCACTAGAAGCTGTAAAGAAGAAAATCAAGTCGTTACAGGACCAGGCCGACGCAGCGGAGGAACGAGCATCTTCACTACAACGGGAACTAAATGCGGAGAGGAGCGCTAGGGAAGCAGTAAGCCACGGCTAATGATTTAAGGCAATTAGTTTGAAGGCGGCCGACGGCATTAGGCGTAAATCTGGTCAAAAAGCGTGGCTTCAAGGCCTGCTTAGCTATACTTTGTACTCGCGTATAACCAGGTAGCAGGTAGACTTGAAATGATCCAATTGTAGGATGGGCGGACATGAAGCGCCACCACCCTGAGCGTCTAAAATAAACAAACTGACCGTAAGAAACGACACGCTAACATGTCCAGCAACAGTGCGCATCCCAGACAGCAGCCCTTGCTCTGCATAATTGTAGACTACAAGAATGTAGCACAGCAAAGCATTGTTCTAAGTAACAATTGTCCCTTTATGTGATTATGGGGTGGATTGAGCACAGGATTTGTCAGACTGGCAGGACATAACAGATGCTCACGTTCATATTTGATAAGCTAAGAGACCAAAGTCATAACCAGACAGTGGGTGGCAACTGCCCAGCCCATCTGCAGTGTCTCCATGACAGAAGTATTCTTTATTTTACCATTTATTTTATCTATGTAATTTTTGACCATGTTCACTTAGGCTGAGGGTGATGTAGCTTCCCTGAACAGACGTATCCAGCTGGTTGAGGAGGAGTTGGACCGTGCTCAGGAGCGTCTGGCCACAGCCCTGACCAAGCTGGAGGAGGCTGAGAAGGCTGCTGATGAGAGCGAGAGGTTGGTATCCATAATCCAAAATGTGCACTCACTCAAGCGGTACACACTTGAGGCAGTACTATAGAGCAAATAGAGCAAACATCATTATTATTTTAATACGATATAAATTTATTCAGTGAAGTGTGAAAAATACACATCTGTAACTGACAATCTGTCTCACAGAGGCATGAAGGTTATTGAGAACAGGGCGATGAAGGATGAGGAGAAGATGGAGCTGCAGGAGATCCAGTTGAAGGAAGCCAAACACATTGCTGAGGAGGCTGACCGCAAATACGAGGAGGTGAGTTTTGTCAGCTGTCCAGAACTTCCAGCTTTGAAGCCTATGCTCTATTTTCCCCACCGGAGCAGCAGCTGTTGTGTATTGTTACTGCACTGAGTTTGTATCTTGACTTCAGGTGGCCCGTAAGCTGGTGATCATTGAGAGCGACTTGGAACGTACAGAGGAGCGTGCTGAGCTGTCTGAGGGGTAAAATTGTTAGGTTTTTATTTTTTGTTAAAAGGAACAAGAAAAGAAAATGTCTTAATACTGTTTTGTATGAACTTACAGCAAGTGCTCAGAGCTTGAGGAGGAGCTGAAGACCGTTCAGAACAACCTGAAGTCTCTGGAGGCTCAGGCCGAGAAGGTATGTTATGCAATATAATGGTGTTTTCAGATGGGATTTTTGAAAGTTTATGAGCGCATCTAACCATTTTCTTGTGGCTTTCTACTCCAGTACTCACAGAAGGAGGACAAGTATGAGGAGGAGATCAAGGTCCTGACAGACAAGCTGAAGGAGGTGAGCATACTACATATTTTCACCAGGCAAACTTTGGACTAACGTTTTGAGTCATATTTACTTATGTTTTCTTGTCTTTCTGAAATCAGGCTGAAACCCGTGCTGAGTTCGCTGAGAGATCAGTCGCCAAGCTTGAGAAGACCATCGACGATTTGGAGGGTATGAATCCTTTTTTCCTGAATCCTCTTTTAGCTTTAGTTTATTTTTTTACAACTTTGCAGCAATTGAGTATTAGTTCTTCTATAAAGTTATTGTATTGTCTGAGTTGTCTAACACCAGGCATCATTGCTCAGCTGGTTATAAGCTACAGCATTTCGCACCATGGTGCTGCTTGGCATTCTATTGAGGTGACCGGTCAAGGCCGTGTTGCCTTGTACTCACGCCTAAAACATGTGGGGTTATTTCTCTGTGACTTCCTTGGAATCTGTCACAGCTATGAGCAGCTGCACCATGTACCATTCCTATTTCTGTCCTGCTTTTTCTATCCATTTGTATTTTTCTGACTTTTTATTTCCCTTTTTTCATTGTGCCTCCAATCCGTCACCACCCCACTATTGCAAACACACAATAGATGAGCTTTATGCCCAGAAACTGAAGTACAAGGCCATCAGCGAGGAGCTGGACCACGCCCTCAACGACATGACTTCCATGTAATTGACCACCTGCTTGCCCCCACTCAATAGTCTCAACAGTTTAACGTGTGCAATTGCTCCCTCTTGTGGCATGTTTGCGTGAAAAAACATAAACCACATAAAAGCTTATCTAACATTATTATAATATATACATATTAATTGATTAGTTTGTGTTAATTTGTATGAATGTGATTTAAGTATTTCTCCCAAACCTTAACCCTATTACAACCTCCCTCTAGTCAGCAATGGTTTTGTTTTCTGTCACTTTGTTGGCATGCTTTTCATTCCTTTTCTTTTTCTCCTTCCAACATTCTTTGTTTTTCTTCACAGCTAAACACTTACTTGCACACAGAAGCCAACTGCTGGTGGAACATCATCATCTATCTCGTGCGCAGCTCTGCCCACCTTCATTATTTCTGTTTCTGTATCTCTGCACTGCCCTGTAATTACTGCACATTGGGCCATGGCTGCTGCTATCCATGTGTTCACCTCTCATGCACATCTTTGAGCCAAATTGCTTCTTGTAAAATAAACACCTTTTTCCATCTGTCAGTCTTTTACCCTTTTCTCCTGCAATGTTTCTTCCTTTTCATTTGTCCCATCTTTTTTTGATTTCTGTCTACATTTGTGTTTTATTTATTTTGTGGAGTAGCTTTTGAATAAACTCTGAAGCTCCTCTCCCATCTACTGTTCCCTTTTCTGTTTGAGAGGACTGTTACATGGTATATAGTCAGGTCTGGATAAAACAAAGATAAGATATATTTATAAGAATTGCAGTCACTTACTAAAGGGTTATATGTGCACTGTGTTTTTTAACCAGCAAAGAGTTTTCAGGGAACAATTAGCTTAGACACATTGCTCCATTGTTTTTTACTTAAATTATGCCATAAGACATCATTCCAATATTGCAAGTGGAACTTTTCAGTGCAGGGTTTTTGATATAATATAAAAATCTCAGTGTTTTGTCTTTAGAGTCTGCATCTTTTGTCTTGTACTAACCCTCCTTGTGTCTTTTCTCTTTCTTGCTTTCTGGCTGTCCAGACCATCTATACAAGCAGCTTGAAAAAAATCGTCTTCTCACCAATGAACTCAGAGTAGCCTTGAATGAGGCTTGAATCCTTGACTCCATAATTTGTTACACTCAACAAAAATACAAAATGCATGCTCATATTGCTTGAAGATAATTTTTTTTATATATTGGTTATTTTCTGGGCTGCAGCAATGCCATTTTAAGAAATCATTCCGAAGCCACCCTTTAGCCTTAAAAGAAATTCAATACTTTAGATAGAACTATTAAAAACAAAACTATACATGGCAATCAAAGCTATATAAATATAGCTACTCCTTTTAACAAAAATAAAATGTGCCTTTTAAAATTAAGCGGTCAAGCTTTTCTAACTTACAACTCAAGTATTTTAAGTATTGTTGCTGGTATTTTTATAATTTTAACAGCATAATTGTAAGTTAGCCATTGCCATACACAGCAGTTTTTTTTTTGCACAAACCAAAAAGTGACTGGTGTTGACTTCTAGTATAGGAACTATTCATTTGCTTCTTAGTAATACTACAGCCTTGACAATAGCTAATGTATAAAAAAAATACTTTTCCATATATTAGGTAGAGTGCACTTTGTACAACACCTAACTATTGTCCTTCTTCACTTAATTTACAAAAACAAGAACATGCCTAACCAACATTTATACCTTGTCTTTGTTGTATCATTTTGTAATGACTTTAACAGATTTAATGCTATATTAACAGATAAACTCTCACGTGCTCAAGAAGAGAACCTGCGTGTAAAGCAGATGCTGGATCAGACACTAATGGAGATGTGTAACCTTTGATTGAGCTTTGGTGCTCCTCTCATCTGTTCTTTATCTTCAAGTATGACTGCTTCCTCTGTACTGTACCGCTACTGCAGAAAACATGGGACCTTGTGTAATTAACTTAAGTAAACAACGAAAAACGAATGAAAACAAAGGCAAAAACGCAAGGTAGCAGTAAATACACTGTAATAGCATAGCAGGAATAGGTATTGTTTATATGTATAGTTTGGGATATTTTGCACCATATCATTGTTAATAAAGCCATATTATGAGCCAAGGTTATTTAAGAGAACTTTTTATGTGCTTTTTGTTAAACGCTGTGTTCAGTTACTTTGCTGTAATCAAATGTTAAGTGTGTATTCTCGCAATATATTTACAGTACTTTACTCCCTTGCACTGTCTAATTTTGTCTCCTTTTAAAGATGTGAATAAATTGTTTAGTTATGTTGCTTGTCTGGTATTGACATGTATTTACAATTGCACAAGAGGGGAACTGTCAGGGACTTCTACTAATTTGCAGTTATTTTTTTATGGCTATAATTCTATATAGCACAATTTGGTCATTTATGACAAACAAAGTAACACTAACTGTGGAGATTGTGCGTGAGCTGCATGATACCATGGAACTTTAAAGTTAAAAACATTACGGAAGACAAGGGGGGGGTGCTTCTAGGCCAGGTCAGGTTTGTGAAGATGCAAGCCCGTTCACAGTTGGGACCATATACAGTCTGTGGTTAAGACTCATATTTGGATACAATTTTAAGTGAACTAAAAGTCAAAAATGAAAACAAGCTTTTGTTTCAGTTTAGTTGTTGCTAAAAGTTAGACTATGGGGATTCTTACACTTTCACGGCTTTAACATGCGAAACTCTCCTCCCGACCAATAGGGAGCAGTGTGGTACCTCACAGGCGGGGTGAAAGTTCACCACAGTCGCATCAGTTCCAGAAACAACACTTGAGTTATGGGAGAAAATCCAAATCTGTCGGTTTCTGTTCTAGACAGCAAAGCTGCATATGTGCTTAGCAATGTGGCTGAAGTGGTGGAGAGAATTCTCACATTTGTACCAACCAAGTCATTACTACAAAGCGCAAGGTAACTGTTTTTGCAATGCTAATGTATGGCTAAACAAGCGAAAGTGAAAATGTGATCTACAAAAGCTACTGCCTGTGATTGTCTTAGTAAAGGGGAAAAGTCCAAAATAGTCGCGCTCTTGTTACCTAGTGTTGTAAATCTGCTGTGGTTGGTTTCAGTGTGTGTAGATTATGGAGGACCTGTGCTCGTCGAGTACTGAGAACTCAGCAGGATGTGTCCTGGGTGTCCGCCTGTGGACCGTGTAACTCGGCAGTCCATGCTCTCTTCAGCGCTCTCAGCGAGGAAGTGGAGGTAAGCCTGTGGTGCCCTAGTACCCGTAGATATGAAGTTATAAGTACTTAATATGGCCTTTTCTGTGATTGTTAGAATGTGTTTCTACTGCCCAAAACCGTCTTGGCCATTGTGGACTGCGAGACATTCAACGGACAAGATTTGTGTTATAGAAATACAGGTATTCATTGCTACTACTACTATTATTACTACTATTTTCTGTTTCATGTTATCACAAACTTCGATTATGTTTTATTTATGTACCAAAAAGAGTAGTTGTAGTCTTGAAAAGACTGAAGTGACAAATTAAAGCCATAATAATAATAATAATAATAATAATTGTGCATTTCGAATTTATTTTCATGTTACTTATTTCTATAGGAAAACCTTTATTATAATACAAGTGGTGGTAAATTTGATTTAATTCTGAATTAAATTATCTGTGTCCTGAAGCAAAAAGAAGCCGTCATGGCTCTGACCCAGTTGAGGATGTAAATCTACTCTTTCCCAAAAGCTGTGATATCATGGGAATTGCCAGCCCCGGCATTGTCTGTAAGTGTCTTGTTTAATCTTTATGTTCCTTTTAAATGTATTTGCATTATTGTTTTAAGTTAAACGCCATACTATGAAACAAAACAATATGGAAATGGAGCACCGTCAATAATGTGCCCAGTATAAATTATGACTACAACCATATGTTTTACTTTTTTTCTTTAGTAACTCCACACAGTTCCCCTATGGCACCTCCTAAAGAATATCAGGAAGGAGAGGCAGGCTTTGCAGTTATGTTTCCCAGCATTGACGGAGTTCAAATCAAGCCTTTTCATTTTTGCAAAAAAAACATCTCTTCTACAGCCATGAAAGAAGCAGGTTGTTATTATTATTTAAACATGTAACACATTTTTATCTTTATTGCTAACACTTCTCACTTAACTCTTATTTTAGGACTAATCGATAACCCAGATCTTCGTGTGGTTCTACTGTTTGTCTATGAGGCATATAAATGTGGAGGAGCACGTTTTCTAAATCAGATCCTGGGGCCATTGGCGGAGACCAAAGCTCTTGTAGCAGGGGGTCTTGTGGAAAGCGTATTCTCTCCTCCCAGACATTGGTATGTGAAACCATAACCAACAATAACATGAAATACACACCTGCTGGAATCCAAATTTGTGAATTACAATACATGATTATATAGTAACAAAGTTTTCCTTGTACATTTCTGTTTAGCTGCAACCAGGGAGCATATGGTGTAGTGGGGCTTACTTTGAGTGGCTCAAAGGTGCAGGGGGCCTCTGTGCTCTTGGATCAGGACGTCAGCACCCCGCAATCAGCTGAGGTTACCATTCGACGGCTTAAAGCGGCAAACATTCCAGAGAAAAACACCATTGGCTTCATGTTTGCCTGTTTGGGAAGAGGTCAGAGTTACTACAATAACCAGAGCAACGTGGAAGCAGATGCCTTTCATAAAGTATTTCCTAGTACTCCACTTTTTGGCCTGTTTGGCAATGGAGAAATTGGTTGTGACCGGATTATTAAGGATGACTACACGTTGTGTGACACTGACTCAGAAGGACTTCAGCATGAGTACACAACAGTCATGACATTGGTCCATCTAGGTTAGCAGGCTAGCAACTGTGAAACTGAAAATTAAAAAAAAAAAAACTTATCCTTTGAATGTAGCTGCCAAGGTTTCTTCTGACCAATCAGGAGAGTCACATTCATGGTAGCACTTTCATGACATGGACCAAGATGTAATTATAGTGGAGCTGGAGAACTTGTCAACGGGTATCGTATACAAATACCTTATTTGACACACAAATGTATATAGTACTATGTTGATTCTTTGTAGTGATTCCCAAAACATATACAACCTGGTTTGGTACATACCCAAAGTAAAATAAACCCAAAACAAGCACTTTTAATTAGGTTAATTAGGCCCTAATGCAATGTGACTATACTTGTTCCTCAAAATCAAGATGTCTTGATTAAAATTTTGTACATTTTTACACATTTTTTTTACCACTGAAACAGACAACACCGTGATGGCCTAAAACTGATTACGGTACTGCAATTTCTGTAAGAATCGTGCAGTGCCTAGATTTTGTTCACCCTATCAAATGCAGCACAACAGTGGTACTTTAGCTTTTAAGTATGAATGAGCATGGTCTTCGGTCTCAGTGGCTTGTAATTTGTATTTTTGGCAAACTTGGAGTCATCCAAATCTGTCTTGTCTAGATGATAACTTTTTTACATATACTTTTGGTATCCCTGGTCATGGCAAAAACTAGTAATAATCAAGTGTAAATGTTAAAACCAATACTGAAGATAATTGTCTTTGCATATTATTAAGCAAATCAAATCAAATTTTAGTTTAGGGGGTCCTGTAATAATATGCCTGTAGTTTACTACTTTTCATTAACTGGCCTTTTTATGAAGACTACAAGCAATTCTTGTGTATTATCCATTCTTAGTGTGTATGTAACCCTCTGAAACAAATGTGTCTGGTATCAATGCACTTTAAGAATGTGCCAAATCATATGCAATTTATCCCATAATTTCAGTTTTATTAAATCGCAATTGTCCAGTTGGCTAAATTGGGTTTCTGTGGTTCTTTCTTTGATCTATCAGACTAGCTGTGCACCCTTAAAGCAAATCACTACTTATTCTGCAAAGTGGGAACACACATTGAAAGCACACTCCCTGATAACTGAATCTCAGCCTATTAGGTTATATCTCCTCCAGCCCACGTTCATGCGCGTTTATGAGGCTCCAGTTTGATTGATGTGAGCTCTAACCATCGACTGGCTAATCCCGGTGAATGACAAACGTTTAAGCCAATTGCTGCAAAGGTAATTATATTCCCACAGTATCCTTATTTTGGGAAAGCATAAAATCGCTCATGCCACAGAGAAGGACGACCTACCGGGCGTAAAGATAATAAAATCATACGTGTGATAATCCGCTCTTAAACTGGTCTCAATCTAGAATTGAAACAATTAGCTACTCATAGGCTCTCACTCACGCACGCAGGGATACGCACGCACGTCCACCCTACCGACAACATTTTTAGATTGGTATGTCGTGACCGGAGCGATGCAAATGTCACACAGATTGTTGAGGACCAGTCTCCGACATGATAATGTGATGGTGTTTGGATAAACTGCGCTGTCGTGCGGCTGCTCTGGAAAAGGTTGGTCTGTGAGCGGAGGCTTTGTCGGTCTTATTTCAGCGCCTGGACAGCTCCTTTCCAAGGGTTCCCCGCTGCGCTCGCCGGGGAAACCCTGTGCTGAGTAGAGGACACACATCACTCTCGCCAGCCCAGCAGGACAGCACTCCAATAGCCTAATATGATCGCTGTGAAACGCGGAAAACCTGAAGTGTTCTGTTCTCGTGACGATGTTTCTTGCGATTGAGCCAGAGCGCCGCTTTGTTTTTTCACTGAAATTCAGCCAGCGCGAGTGGGAGCAGCGGAAGCAAAAGCGGCAGCAGCAGCAGTGGTGCTCATCTAAAGCAAAAGTGCTAAGGATAGCTGCAACCTACACTCACCGCGAGTCCACGGCTGTTCCACTTACTACCCTCAACACCAAGGAGTCAGCAGGCGACCACCGCCAGACACACGCTCCCGCCATCGATGCAAATGTTGCACAGGTATGTTCTTTTACTATGTATAGCTACTTCATACGGGCTATGGCAAGCGTTTTCCTTTTCAAGACTCGTTCAAGTAAGAAGATTGTTCATTGGGTTGGGAGTAGTATAGGCAATGATGAAGTCATATCTCCTCAGTCTTTGCTGGAGACATGGGCTACAACTTTTAACAATCACACATTCTTTCAGCAAGGCAAGAGTTTTATCCTGTCTGACATGTCGGATCAGATACACTTGTGTGTTATACCCCATTACAGACTAGAGTGCCTATAGGCCTATTATACAGAAAACCTCATTATTACTTCGAGAAACAGTTCAATATATTCTAATTTCATATACATATACATATGTGTTATACCCTACAATAGACTATAGAGTTCTGTTATACAGAAAACTTTATTACTTCCAGAATCAGTTTGATATGTTCTAATATCCACCATGTGCACTTTAATACTGCTGTGTGCAGATTTCACCATTAGTGTTTAACATATATCTAGTAATCTTATTATAAGTGCAAACAATTGTTCTACAGGTTCACCATGAAAGAAGCCTCCATCAGATGAAAAGGTGAAGTGCAGCACTAAATCAGGAGCGAGTGACAACCAACACATCCCTAACCTCTCCATCACCCAGCAGCATCATGGCCAATGCTGAGTAAGTCTTTACACTGCTGCTTTGTCACTTTATAAACGGATAAATCTGGCTGACCACTTACAAGAACAGTTTGTACGATGCATTTGATTTTGTATTTCAGTACAAATGCCACTTAAAACACAGCTTCTGGCAAGGTGCCTGTGACCCTTCTCTCCCTGAATGCTAAACACAGGGACACACAGTAGCACACCTGCGCTAGCCTCAACTATAAAGCCTCCATTCTGCGTAGGCCCAGGCGAGACACAAGTTAGAGAGGCAGACCTACATTATATCATGTTATTCACCAGCTGATTTGTCACATTTTAATATCAATGTGTTCCAGTAGTGCAATAATGTGAAAAATCATTTGTTTGCTTAAATGTCATTCCACACATACAAGTTAATAAGCTGCATTACTCTATGACCCAGATGAATAGCCCTAAATCTTTGCTCTCTTTGTGTTCTCTTTTAAGTGGGTCACTTCTGTGCAGGTCCGGCACAGTTACTGCTTTGTAGCAGTAGCAAAGGTCATTTAAGTGTATTGAAGCTTCTTCTTTCTATTTATTTTTTGGGGGATGACAGTCAGCAAGGATTTGCTTAATTGACAATCTATTATTTTACAAAAGATGTCCTCCCTCACTATTCTGCTATAAGAAATATTCTGGTTAAAGAGAGCCTGTATATCTTGCACTATTCATTAATGGATTTGTTGATTTAATTAAACTAAGCATTGGAATTTAAAGTGCTGGGCCATCAGCTGCATATCTCAATGTAGATATTATTTTGTGTTATTAGATATTAGATATTGTAGATATTATTTATTGCTTTGTCTAGAATGTTCTAGAATGGCATTAGTATCTCAATGGTGCCACTAGGCTAAGTAACAGGTCAGATCTGTCTAGATGTGACTCAACTCTCAGTAAGAATAGATGTTTTTCTAAGATGGTTTTGAACAATATAAACAGCTGTAAAAAATAAATGCATGATGGATAAGTTACTACATACTATGGAACATTCCAGCCAAACCAAGAAACCAACATGTGGTCAAGCAGGTAGCAGACTCTTCAAGCCACATAATGCACCTTTTTCAGTTTCTACATCTGCGATCCTGATGCCATCACAGAATATAGTTTGTATTTCCAGTTGTTATACAAAATAGAAACCCTTATTATAGTGATCAGGCTTATAAGAACTACGTTCCATGTAGTGCCTCTATGATTTATGGCATACAGACATACTATAAAAGATTTTAAGATAACTCCCTTGAAAAGTCTTCAGTACATGTGCTTGCTCATGAGGACCTCAGGGGGTCTGGTTTTTGTGTAGTCTACAGCTTGTGTCTGTTAAGGTCAGACAAGAGACCAAAAGGACTATTGTGTCAACCACAAATTCATCTCACTTTAATCTGGAATATTTTCATGCAGGTTTGTTCCAGGCAGACCTCATTAATATACTAATCGCACTGGTGCCACATTCTTCATAATTGTTCTCCTCACCTGCGTCGCCTTCATCTTCATTATAAAAATAAGTGTGTTGGTCTTGTTTCTTTGGGCTCACCAAATAATTCTTCCTTTTGTAGAAATGTCAATGGGTGATGTAAGTTATAATTGTATATTTGTACATTTGCCTGTCTGATTTTACAGACCTTTACATCATTGTGAAGAACATTATCTTGCCTATTGTGCTCAATATTAGAAGGTGAAAGAACAAAATATTATTTAATGTAAATCCTTTTGCAGGCGTCCTGGTCCTTATCCATGTAAATTGTGTTAAAGCAGTCTGGCACAAGTGCATTAGGCTAACTAACATTTCTTCCATAGTACAAATTATAGCACAAAAATATAAACATACTGCATTAGTTAATTAATTAAATAATCTATAATAAACAGTGTTTTAGTATTTAATAAGTTAAATTAATGCATTACCCATACTCAAATACAGTGCATACTATTTTCTTGAATAGTTTCATATCTTTTCAAACCCATAATAGAGAAAAACATCTGCTTGTTGAACTTGACCAAAAGTGTGCAGGTTCTCCAGCTGTCTGCTGATCTCCGTTGAATTACCCAAACACAAACAAACATTAAAATGTGTTTGGTATTGATGACAATGACTTTTTTACTGCAGCACTTTATTTCTTAATACATGTGCCCTTTAGGCTTGAACTTTGTCCTAGTGCCATCCACAAAAAGCTTTTTACTCGATCAAGAAATATCCAAGTTAATATGCTTGGAACTTGATAAATAATATAGAAAAAAACATTTCCAGACTATAAACACTATGCTATCATAAGAGAAAGCCTGCATATTTCCACTGACTCCTAGTTACTTGTGTGACCTTTTGATTTGGTCACCAAAGTCCCTAGAGCAACCTTTGTCAAATAATGACCTTTCTACCTGACTCTCCACTATACTGTCTAGTCTTTAATTTAATTTGTGGATGCGAAGGATTTCTCCTTTCATATCACCTTTTTTATTCCATCTGTAGTCTTTTTAGTTAGTACCAGTTGTTTCCCTATAGGACTGTATTCAAAATCTTAAAATAGTTTTACTGTTTGATGTAGTTCCCAGTTAGAATGGAGGCTGATAACTGCTTGAGTTTGTCAAAAGTAGTTAAGTCTGCTTTTCTGACTGTTTGGGAAAATGGCCAACTCTCCCACTGGGTTGTAGATGAGAGGTGGTGCAGATGAGATGCTATGTGTAGGAGAAGTGTTGGGGAAACAATATATATCAGGCCAACTATACTGGGGTGTCATATTGTATTTCTAAACTGGATTGAGCAGGAGTGAGATGTGAACCAAGATAAATAACAACATTTTGGGTGGACTGTTTACTCTATCTTTTTTTCAGCAGCAACATTTCAGTCTATGCAAAGCAATGTCATGCTTTTCTACACATCCATAAAATGCACTCATTTATCACAACTTGTGTAATTTGTTCACTGCTTCTTTATTAAATACATGTATTTCCTAATTCATGGGCAAAACATTGAATCTTGAAATGTTTAGAGATAAAGTAAATATTACTCTGTTCTGTCACAAGGAGTAAGAATACTTGTTTCTATTAATTGATAGCTTAAATAAAATATACCAGATTCAAGTCCTGGTCTGTGCAGTATAGGGTGTCTGCATGTCTCCACTGTAGTATAGAGTGAAGTCTGTGTTCCTGGGTTGGCTGGGCCTTTCTGTGTGTCCCCTGGGACAATAAAGTGTCCTTAACTTTAACCAATTTATAGATCACATATTAAAGTGGCATTATAGACTGTCCTCTTCCTCTCCGCTGCTCTTCTGTTTATTTTATTTTATTTTTTCTGTCTTTTTTTCTGGTCCTTTTTGACATGTAGAGGAGAGTGGGAATCCGCTCAGCTGACAATGGGAAAGGCGGTGACGTCACAGCAGACATGATATACCAGCATCTGCTCTGGTCTAAAAATACACAGCACAGGGCACACACAGGCAGTCTGCAGCTGCACTCAGCTTTGTTTCCACCTCTACGCTCCACTCAGGCGGCCCTGCTTAGCCACAACTGGGGCTCATGGACACTGTGCTATGTTGTTCACAGGCCACAAACCAGTCACTTATGGTATTTAGAGATTTCACTAATACTAAACTCAGTGGGTTAGTTCAAAGGTTATAAGACAAATTGTAGATGTATTTTTAAAAGAATAGATTTTAGAGGTATTAGCAACACTGATTCAAGAAGTCTTGAGTGAGTGTGTGTGAGTTGGTAATACTTGTCTAGAAATTGGACTTCTTAGATTGTGTTCAGATGATAATCTTATACAGAAAAAAGCATTTTTATTTAGCACCTATATTTTATAACAATTTAAAAATATAAATCAATTTAAAATCTAGTGTGATATATCCATTTAATGCCATGTTGTGGAACCTTCCTGGAAAAAGTCACTTTGCATTTGCATTGTGGTCCTTTATACCACTTGTTTATGTCAATATAGTCATACATCATTTCCGTCAGTGCACAAGTTTTCATGATCTTTGGTTGTCTGGTTGTTGTTACTATGCCTTTTATTCTAATCCTCTGAAGATGGGAGGACTTTTTTTTTTTTTTCAGTTTAAAGCAGAAAACTTCCCTTCAAACCAACTGCACTTTTGTCTTGATTTTTACCAAATGTTTTATTTATTATTATTATTATTTTTACATATTCAGCATTATCCTTTCTCTCAATGCCCCCTGTTGTCTGTGTGTTTTCATTGTAGCAGGGAGGTGGAGCAGGCAGGTGTGTCTGACTTGGAGATCATCTCTCAGCCTGTGGAGGACGAGAACCAGTGCTTGGCTCCTCCAGTGCAGCTGCTGAGTTTTGGCTACAGGGACCTGCCTCTCACAGCTTTGGATGTGTCGCTGGCTGGATCACAGCTTCTCTCCAATGCAGACGAAGATGAGAACAGGGAGGGGTAGGTGAAACTTTCTGTTCTGTTTTTGGGTCTTATGAGAAAACAAGTGATGAACACACTGGACATTTGTTCGCAAAATGATGTAATTGACACATTTCCATTGCACTTTTTGAATCAGATTTTTTCCTAACTGTGTTTACAAAACTAAAATAGTTTACCTTTAATAAAGTCACCTAGGGCTCTCTGTAACTTCACTTCATGTAATAATTGTGTACCTGGTGCAGTTTAATTAACACACATAACAATTGCAATTTAAAATAAAATATGACCAATTAATTTAAATGGCATGTCATACCATGCTATAACATAAGTCTTAGTGGATTCTGGATACTGGAAGTTATTTTTAGGGCCACATTAAAAAATCAACAGAGGGATGAAGTTCACTTGAATGAAGAGATGTAGTTCAGTGGTTTGTCAAAATGGCTTTGTGTAACAGCTGAAAATATTTATTATTATGATATTATCAATGCAAATTTCTATTATAAGGAACTGAACATTCCCAACAAAAGTATCTGCACTGGTGTTGACTGAGCTCTGATGAGATTGGTAATATACCAAATGACCCACTGCCAACACATGCATATGCATTGTTCATTTATCAGTAGTATTCATTACTCCACCAAACCCTAAGCTTAATAAACCAACACTTACTGTGAATACAATGTTTACTGCACATTGTTGCCAGGAAACCACATGGTCTGATTATTGTCTATTATAAATTAAATCTCCCTGGTCCTTGGCTTGGCTTTCTTATTGCACACACTGTATTTCATCAATTCATCATTAGCTGACAACCTCAGGGTTGTCCACCGTCCCATAAGTAAACTCAGGTCAATTCATCATCTCAGTCTAAGTGTCCACCCTCTGCTCTGCCTGCTCACTACAGCAGTCTTTATAGTATCTGACAGTGGGCCAGCAAGAGCCAAACGCCAATGATATCACATCCTTTGCATCTTGTTGTTTGACTGCAAACGTAATTACGTTTCTAATTTATCAAACCAATGATGATGCATTTGTCAACATTCCCTGTAATTTAATTGAATGCACAGCTGCAATTTATACTTTTAATACATGGTTAAAGAGTCATGTCAGTGCAAAAAATGTAGCCAAATCTTGCATAAGGTTTATTTAAGTGGGCCTCAGCATTTGCCTGCTGGAATATGATTTCAAGATGATGCTGATAAATTGTGGCCCTATTGACTCACACAAATATAAAAAAAATGCTTAGTCAGTTTTTTGTGTTGTCCTGCAGTGTGACTCAAATCTGGCTTTCAGTTCAATCTCCTATGATGTCCACAAACACCATAAGCTTGAATAATGATCCAACTCGGGCACTTGCCACACATTAACACATAGTTGCCATCATCATTGCCAAGTTCACTGTTTGACACCAAATCAGGACTCAGTCTATTTGCTCTATTTATGTAGCCAATACTGCACAGAAACAGATGGTTACCACAGATGCACACTCACAGCAGACTGGTACTAGAGCCAGCAGCTCCCTAATGTGGCCTGACTAACAGTAGCAGGTATTTTTCCATTCCTGTGCATACTATAATTGTTTTCTGTCAACTCCCTCTGCTTACTACAGCTAGTAAACAGAATGCAGTTGAAAAATATATAAATGAGAGCTGCCTGCATCATATTCATTGGCAAATGTGTTATATGGAATCATTGCCAAAAACAAATCCTTGTTGCACAAAGCTGCATGTAATGAATTATGCATGCAATTTTTTTCTCTCATATTCATCTATAAAATTCCAGCAACAAGACCATGTTTTTTTTGTCTGGATCCCATATCTGTAGCTGTTGAGTAATCACATAAAACAGATGTACTGATATGTTCAAAAGATATTGGGCTATTATTGGTCTCAAGGCAGTCAAACCCCTGCTGTATGCGGATGTTACAGCAGATTTACTGCTCACTGTGGTGAAGGGATTTTTACCAGTGAGCTCAATTTACTCATACTGTGCTTAGTGTAATGGGGTTAATATTTTCATATTCAAGTCATTAGTGCAAAATGTCAGCTTGTAAAACACTGCCAGGAGGAGTTGTAAAACTCATCATTTCCTCTTTTAACTTTAATTAAATTCTTCTTAAGCCACCAGACTGGACTTTAGTAGTGTGTATGTTACATTAACATACCATATAGTTTAAGTGATGTGCTAATCTTGGGCATTAATCATGTTTTTAAGTGGACTCCAGTTTGGTTTGAAACAGATATTTTGTTTTGATAGACCTTCACAGAACAATTAGGTAGACATTTTTTCTGCTAAAAATCTGCCAGAAACAGAATAGTCAAACAGCTGCTGTTAATAATACTGTACCCAGTGTTTGGTTAGGGAATATATTGTGGTCCTGCTGGGAGAACATTAGTAAAAATAGGGAGGACAGCTTTAGGAGAACCACTGTGAATGCAAAAAGAAAATAGGCCTTGTCTGACTTTATAGCCACGTCATTAGAATCAGTCAGATTTAGTGATGGCGTCTCAGTGAATGTGTCAGTCAGCCCTGTGCCCTTGATTGTGCGTATTTCAGCAGTACTGGGCGGTTGGTGATTACGCCTCCGTCTCCTTATTACTATATCGATCTCCCCTCTCCACCAGCAGCCACCATCAGCCCTCCTAAATGACATTCATGAACACCACTCTGCCATCATCATGTTTTATGGCAGTGGGCGTGTTTTTCAAATCGGGGCATTGACTTTCTTATCTGCTTGTGGGTTGACTTTGTTACAATGGAACAGTGTAAGAAATATCAAGACAATATTTATCATATAACTCTGCAGTTGTATATAAAACGGACTGCTGAACTTGCCTCAAAAAAATAAGGCTGAACTTGTTTTAAAGCTGAATGAAATATAAATATTAAGAGATAGATTCATTTGTATTTCTAACTAACTGATAAGTGTTACTTTGTTAAACATAAAAAAATATTAAATGGGAACAATAAAGAGAAATGTGTACACTTTAGTTATTATCAGTCTTATTTTCAGAATAATTTGTCCATCCATCCATCCATCCATCCATTTTCGTCCGCTTATCCGGGGCCGGGTCGCGGGGGGAGCAGCCTAAGCAGGGACTCCCAGACTTCCTTCACCCCAGACACGTCCTCCAGCTCCTCCGGGGGGACCCCAAGGCGTTCCCAGGCCAGCCGAGAGACATAGTCCCTCCAGCATGTCCTGGGTCTTCCCCGGGGCCTCCTCCCGGCGGGACATGCCCGGAACACCTCCCGAGGGAGGCGCCCAGGAGGCATCCGGAACAGATGCCCGAGCCACCTCAACTGGCTCCTCTCAACGTGGAGGAGCAGCGGCTCTACTCCGAGCTCCTCCCTTGTGACTGAGCTCCTCACCCTATCTCTAAGGGAGCGCCCAGCCACCCTGCGGAGGAAACTCATTTCGAGCGCTTGTATCCGCGATCTCGTCCTTTCGGTCACTACCCAGAGCTCATGACCATAGGTGAGAGTAGGAACGAAGACTGACCGGTAAATCGAGAGCTTCGCCTTTCGGCTCAGCTCCCTCTTCACCACAACGGTCCGATACAGCGACCGCATCACTGCCGAAGCTGCACCGATCCGCCTGTCAATCTCACGTTCCGTCCTTCCCTCACTCGTGAACCCGAGATACTTGAACTCCTCCACTTGAGGCAAAGACTCCCCACCCACTCGGAGAGGGCAAGCCACCTTTTTCCGGTCGAGAACCATGGCCTCGGACTTGGAAGAGCTGATCCTCATCCCAGCCGCTTCACACTCGGCTGCAAACCGCCCCAGTGCACACTGCAGGTCCTGGCTCGATGAAGCCAACAGAACAACATCGTCCGCAAACAGCAGGGATGAAATCCTGTGGTCCCCGAACCGGATCCCCTCCGGCCCCTGACTGCGCCTAGAAATTCTGTCCATAAATACAATGAACAGAACCGGTGACAAAGGGCAGCCCTGGCGGAGTCCAACATGCACCGGGAACAGGTCTGACTTACTGCCGGCAATGCGAACACAGCTCCTGCTCCGGTCATACAGGGACCGGACAGCCCTTAGCAAAGGGCCCCGGACCCTATACTCCCAGAGCACCCCCCACAGGACACCACGAGGGACACGGTCAAATGCCTTCTCCAGATCCACAAAACACATGTGGACTGGTTGGGCAAACTCCCATGAACCCTCGAGCACCCTATGGAGAGTGTAGAGCTGGTCCAGTGTTCCACGGCCAGGACGAAAACCACACTGCTCCTCCTGAATCCGAGGTTCGACTATCGGCCGGATTCTCCTCTCCAGTACCCTGGCATAGACCTTACCGGGAAGGCTGAGGAGTGTGATCCCCCTATAGTTGGAACACACCCTCCGGTCCCCCTTCTTATACAGAGGGACCACCACCCCGGTTTGCCAGTCCAGAGGTACTGTCCCCGACCGCCACGCGATGTTGAAGAGGCGTGTCAGCCAAGACAGCCCCACAACATCCAGAGACTTCAGGTACTCAGGACGGATCTCATCCAACCCCGGAGCCTTGCCACCAAGGAGCTTTCCAACCACCTCAGTGACTTCGGCCAGGGTGATGGATGAGTCCGCCTTCGAGTCCCCAGCCTCCACCTCCTCCTCGGAGGACGTGACGGTGGGATTGAGGAGATCCTCAAAGTATTCCTTCCACCGCCGGACAACGTCCCCAGTCGAGGTCAGCAGCTCTCCTCCCGCACTGTAAACAGTGTTGGTGAAGAACTGCTTTCCCCTCCTGAGGCGCCGGACGGTTTGCCAGAATCTCTTTGAGGCCGTCCGATAGTCCTTCTCCATGGCCTCCCTGAACTCCTCCCAGCTCCGAGTTTTTGCCTCCGTGACCACACGGGCTGCAGCACGCTTGGCCCGCCGGTACCCGTCAGCTGCCTCAGGAGTCCCCCGAGCCAGCAAGGCCCGATAGTACTCCTTCTTCAGCTTGACAGCATCCCTTACTTCCGGTGTCCACCACCGGGTTCTGGGGTTGCCGCCGCGACAGGCACCACAGACCTTACGCCCAC